TTCATCTTTCCTTGAGTACCAAACAGGAACTCTCCTCAATTAGATGTCTGCTAAGAAGAAAAAAATGCCATTATCCAAGGACGCAGCAAGTTCTGTCAGGTATTTCAACATGGTAGAAGACTAGTCAGGTTTTAATTGGCCCTATTGAGCTCACCCACAAGCTACAACATTCTTTACCTCACCAGTGTGGTATTCAAAAGGTAAAAAATATACTACAAAGTTAGAGTCTATCTCTTGAAAACATCAAATGAATCAAGTCCGGTTTCATCTTGTTAACTGAAGGCTGGTTGATAGAAGTGCACATATCAGCACTAGTAACAGTGGTATTGAAAAGTAAAATAGATTGTAAAACAAAGTCCCATCCTCAACTTTGTTTATTTGGCTTGCTAAACTAAAGAACTAGACTCTATATGTTGCTAGTAGTTTCTCAGTCTTTACATCTGTGTCAGAAAGCACTTTCTCTAGACAATTCAAGTTCAAAAGATGACCAGCTATAACCCTATTCTTAATTATAAGAACTTTCTCCAATAAAAATTCTTACCAGTTTGAAATTGTTGAAGTTGGATACAGCAGCAGATAAATTTTTTAAACTGCTCAGCAAAGTGTTCTGAAATAATAGACAAAGAAGTAATAAAATATCAGAACAAGAATAGAAAGTTATGAAAAAATGCTCCTTTTAAAAATAGAGAATGCTCAGACAGGAAGGGCTGATGAGATAGCTGTGGTTTTAGCAAGCATTGTTTAGAAAGATGCACAACTATTATTTTTATGCTACAACTTGACCAAGACTTTTGACACTAAAAGCAGTTAATGATATTTTTTAAAAAGGGATGAAAGAAAATTTGAGGAGGTGAAATCTTCATGGTTTTATGGAAGATATATTCATTTGGGTCTTTGCTATCATTGCCACCATTCAAACAATGAATAGCAAACACCTAGAAAAGCTCTGTGTACAGATGTGGTTTTCCTTTTCCTTAGCCAACACTTCATGAATGAACTAACATCCTTTCAATGGAGCAGGGAGACTCCTGAGGACAGTGAGAAGTAAGGAGAAAAACCATTGAATCCTCATTTTCCAATACTGGAAGAGACCTTAAAGCTTGAGCTGCTTTCACCTCTTATTTCCTTTCTACAGGCTTTCAAACCAATTGTTCACTCTAAAACCCAAGGGGTCCTCCAGCCTATGCTTTGCCCTTATCTTCTTACCCAAGCTCTATCCTTGGACAGCAGTTTACATGTCCAAGACCTGTTTGCCATCCAAGTATGTCTACCATCAGGAGGATAATCTCAGGGCAAATGACTATAAAGTCCCTGGAATGGGCTCAGGGCCATTTGGACAGGGGACTCTGGGGACTCAAGTACTCAAGTGTGGTCTAGGGGTAGGGGCACAACCTCTGGGCCTTCTCTTGGTTCTGAGCACTCCTTGAACTATGGGGAGTCACAGACCTTACATGTGTCAGCATACGGGTCCTCTAAAGTAGGGGGCAGGGACAGGTAAGGAGCCCTGGTTGCATGAGGCAAAGAATGGTACTGACTTCCATATACAAAAATGATTATTGGTAGTAGACTATTGTAATCTCCACCACTTATCAGAAAGTTCTACACAGTTCCAAATGAACTAACTGTAGGCCTAATAAAGTGTTTAAAGTAACTCAAGAACAACCTTTAAATTTCCCTGAGTTATTAAAAAAGTTGGACATGACCTTAAGAGAAAAAATTAATAAGTTTAAATTATGTTATGAATTAAAACAACATAAACTAAATAAAAAGTTTGACATTTTAAAAAGACTAATAATTAATTTTAAGAGACCAATTCAATAGTCTACAATGGTATCTAACCCATGGCTCATGGGCTGCATGCAGCCCAGGATAGCTAAGAATGCAGCCCCAAATCAAAAATTTACTTAAAATCTTTTTTCTGCTCATCAGCTTTCATTAGTGTTTGTGTATTTAATGTGTGGTCCAAGACAATTCTTCTTCCAGTGTGGCCCAGAGACACCAAAAGTTTGGACACCCTTGGTCTACATGATTAAAGTTTCTCATAAGCTCCTGATCCAGATTTTAAAAATTTGTTGGGGGTAAAAATTGCCTCACCCTGGCTGATTGGTTCAGTTGGTTGGAGTGCCATCCTAAACACCCAAAGGTTGCAGGTTCGATCCCCAGTCAGGATGCATAGGGGAGGCAACCATTTTCTCACATCAATGTTTCTCTCTTTCACACTCCTTTCTTCTCTCTCCAAAATCAATAAATATATCCTCTAGTGAGATTTTTTTTTAAATTGCCTCCACAATTTTTAGGAAAACACTGTTCCTCTCATTATTTGGTTCAAAACTCTTCAACATAAATCACACAAAGTTGTAATGTCATAAATGTACTAGATGTCCCATTAAAAGATAGTTACCTTCTTTTTAAAAAGGGGTATATAATGTAAGATTTGAGCCTTCAGCCCACCAGAACTGTGTCCAATTTGCAAATATCTGACAACAGCAGAAGAAAGGGAGACAGCAGCAGGGAGTTTGAGGAGAAGAGGAGGGGAGACTTTCCCAAATGATTTTGTTCAGCAACTAAATAAATATAAGGGGAAATGATAAGGCATATGCAAATGACAATAACTTTCATTTTTTTAAATATTGTTAAAAAAAAGTTAGACTAGGTTTCAATTTGATCCATGGCATGTCCATAGATAGCTGCCATGATGTGCTATCTAACAAATATGTTCAGGTTCAAAGAAAAAGTAAATTAGACCAGACCACTAAAGAACACTGTGTGAATGTAAAACATGAAAAAGCCAACAAAAGCAAAACAGAAAGCTGTTTTAGGGGCCGAAAGAGACCTTCTGAAAGACTTTGGTGTGAGGTTTTATGTAGAAATTTCTTATCAAATGTAAACATCTTTTGGTAAACAATTGCAATTTAAGCTGTTTCTTTTTGCTCACTTCATATATCTGTGCCTTTTCTTTAGCCACAAACTGTCAAGGAGATGAACACTCTCAACCAGGATGTCTGTAAGCTGTTTAAGGAGGTGACACACAATGTTTGTAACTTTATAATCTATAAGGTACTTTAAACTTCCTCAGGAAGACCTTCTGAAAATGTAAACTCCCTTATCATTTTACCTGAGAAGTTAAGCAAAATTTTAATTGCTTGAGGGGCTCTAACAGTTGAATATGTTGGGGATTTTTGCTGTTTTGTTTCAGAAACTGATCTTGAATAAAATAATAGTTACTGTAAGTGGAATAGTACTTATTGGGCCTAGGAAACCTTATTGATTAATTAAAATATCCAATCATTTTTAACAATGATCATCATTGCTCCTAGATCAGAATCAAATCACTATATATAAAAATATTCCTACATAGTATAACATTTTAAGAAATTAAGTTAACATTGATAATTTTTATTTATAGTTTTATTATCAACATGCACTTTTCTGTATTCTGCCTACCACAGGAATATTCTGAAAACAGCTTGCAGTTAGCATCTCATAAAATTATCTGCCCAAACTTTTTGGTTTTAATTCAAGCTCTCCCTCCAGACTTTGAGAAACAGTTTACCTGTTGTTTTATTCTGTGATTGAAATTATGCTTTTCTCTAAAATGGATATATTGTACCATGCTTCATATATTACTGGAGAAGTCAACAGGGTCAACTGTCATATGAGCGAACATTTAGCTAGAGCAAGAGAAACGTGTAAGGCCCTTGCGTAGTGCCTAAAGAAACTTCAAAGCCTCAAACTATATATCATCTCATTTAATTCTCACTGCAACTCCATGAAGCATTTTAGTTATTATTATGCCTAATTTCAAATGTGGCAACAAGCTTGGATGCCAAAACACTCAAAATCATTAAGAACAAGAGGATTTGAACACACACTTTCTGTCTTGGTATTTCTTTCTTGGTGGTCTCTGTAGTTTATTTTCTTTTTTTGTTGTTTTTGCTTGCACTTTGATATTTTAAAAGGGATACAAAACAAGAAGCTGTATACCTTACTTTTGATGCTGCCCAGCTTATCTTTATATTTAATGGTCAGCTCCTCTAGCAACAGCTGGCACCCAGTCTTGACACTTCCCCATTTTTTCACTGCTGCTAAAAGTTGATAATGCACTTGAACTGTTTACACAAAAACTTTTTGCTGTATTTAAAACTACAACTTTACATGTATTTTGAGGTCAAGCTCTATGAGCTTAGAGATATCTTATGCTCACAAGTTTGAAAACTGAAGTTGATCTAACAAGTATTTCATTTTCCCTAAACAAATAATGAAATTTAAAAAAACACACACACAGAGCAATGTATTTCACTCATCCTACCATTCCTGGCAAGCATCATAATGGCATCTAAAAAGTGTTACCTTCCCAAGAGCTGTATTTCAACCTTGACCAGATCTGCTGTCCACAACTGCAGACTGGCTCAATGAAAAACTAGAAGCATTGCTGGACACTGCCTAACAAACCTTAGTACTTCACTGGAAACTAATGAAAGAGACCAGAGCACAAGCTATAACACATTTAAGTATCTCTTAAGATCAACATAAAACATATATATAAAGATCTGCAAGGTGTGTGCACTAGTATTAACTGGTGTTTCTAATTCTTTAATGCTTAGTAGCCAAGAGAAACTTCCACCGTTAAAGTAAGTTTTTATGCCTCAAAACACTTGTTTGTGCTTGAGTTTCTTAAAAACATCAAAATGTTAAGTACTCCAATAAACTGGTCAACTTTGTTGGAAAATACAATATATGTACTTTTCTAAATACTTTCAGTATTAATGAACTTTTTGTTGTGGTGCATGGACCTTGGTACTGAATTAGAAATAAAAAGCTTGGGAGTAAATTTTTTTTTCCATAGCTGCTTCCCAAATGAATCTGAATACTTACAGAGATGATTATCCATCATCTTGAAATATCAAAAGGAAAATAAAATTTGCTAAAAAATCAATGAAATTTATTTTTATTTAATTACTAAGTCATTCACTGATAAGTTAAAGAGCAACAAACTTCTGTCAAGTTTCATTAACACATTTGACTTTTTATTTTTTAGAATATAGTCTACATTTGGATTAAAAAAATTTAAATTAATTTAAGACATATAACAACAGTGGAACTCTTCATCATTCAATGTACAGCACTGATAGAATGTCAGTTGGTTCCATTTTGGACAGGTCCACTTTCTCATAATAATGTTATTATTTCCACTGGCTGAGTGGCAAGCTTCGTACAAGCTGGCACAGTGCCAACTTACACACATTAGGGAGGGGGGAGGGGTGGCGTGAAAGGCATGGGTAGAGTGCCACAGGACAACTATACTGTGTAACAGAAAATTATTAATAAAGTAGTACCGGTTACCCACAGACAGTGCTGTTTGTGCGCTTATCACAATGAAATCACCAAAGTTTCAGAGCAAGGAGGAGATTCGAAATACTTAAGAAAGGGCCACTATTACAAAAAGAAACAGTGCAAACAGGAAACCTGATGCAATCCTAGCAACTCTGAGGCCTCCACCAGCCCAAGCGCGGGGAGGCGGGAGACTGCTGGGTGCCCCGCCTTCCCCAGCGCCCAGCTCCTCTGGGCGGCGCTCCCAAGTGTGGCAACCCAGTGCCGCGCCCTGGCATGGCCCCTTCTCAGCCCTCCCGCTCCGGAAAGAACAGAAAAGAAACTCCAGGAAAGGCACAGGCTGAATGCAAGGGCGTCAATCCAGTTCCATTACCACCAAGGCAGAACACAGCCCCAACACCATCCCGTGGAAGGCAAGGAGGTCCTTAAGCCACCCTCCTCTCTCGCCACCACGTTCCTTTTTCTACTCCTAAAAGAGGCCCCCTCCTCCATTCAGCCCTGCTGCTCCCTCTTCAGTACTCAGCCCCCAACTTTGCAGTTGGCCCATTGCGCCCTATAGCCAGAAAGAAAACAGCTTTCAGGGAAGAGGGTGAAAAATGGGGCCGAGAAGGGTAGGCAGGCGCCGGCATCCCTCCTCAGTGGCCCCAATTGCTGAAGCCTATCTCCTGCTTGTATCTGTTGGTGAGGATGTTGGCTTTGCGCGTGAGTTTGGACAGCACAGTGTGCAGCCCGCGCAGGTGGTAGTGAAACTGCCGTTCCAGGTCCTCCTCGCCAGCGTCTGCGCCCTCCAAGTGGCTCAGGTCCACCAGGATGTCCTTAGACTTCCAGGTACTGCCCTCCTCGCTCCCCGCCGGCTGTGGCGGATGGTGTAAAACCCCCCACTCGATGTCGTTTCGGATGGACTTGAGCAGCATGTAGTGGCTGTACATGTCCCGGGAGGGCGCGAAAAAGCTGCTGTTGCTGCTGCCATCGCCAGCAGCTGGGGGCGTACGCTCTTCCAGACAGCTGCTACTGCTGCCTACCTCCACACCGACATCGTTGTCCAGCCCAGGATCTGCCAGGGGCACGTCACGCAGCAGGCTGGGCACCATCACCGTCTGGTCCATGTTGTTCACCGCGCCTATGAAGCGGTTCATGGCGTTAAAGAGCGAATGCTTCTGGTTGTAGGTGTCGCAGATTTGCATCATGGTGGTCACAAGGACACCAAAGCACAGAGGCACAGGATGGCAGGCTAGGGTGAGGTGGTGCACCCCCCGCCCCCCCGCACGAGCTCTTGGAAGCCCGCGTCAGGAACTTGGCTACAGCCGGAGCTGCGGGATTCCCGGCTCCTCCTGGCTTTGGCGTCTGGAAGCTCTCGATGGCAGCGCGTGGTCCGTGGATCGAGCCCTGACCTGTTTGGGGGAAGAGAGACGAAAGAGATTATTCACCCTGCTAGAATGCCTGTAGTCCCGCCATCGTGCATCTCCCTCACGATTACTGCTCCCCTGGGACAGTGCCTGGGCACCTCCCCATAGCCCGGCTGCTCCCACCTCCTCTCCTTCCGAGGGCCGAGGGCCACGGAGAGAAGGAAAGGATGCTCCCCACCCCAGTCTTCCTCCGAAGAGCCAAGTCCAAACACCCACGTTAATAGGGGCTGAAATGGGGTGGGGGTACCCACCTCCTCTTTCGCCTCAAGATCCCCTGCTGCTGTGTAGCTCAGCGTTTTCGCTACTGGTGGCGGTGCCTGTGGGTGCTGCTGTGGTCAGTGATACCGGACTGTGACTGCAGGCGGTGGTGGCGTTGGCCCCCTACCCATCCCAGGTGCTCAATTTATAGAGCCCCAGAAAGGAGTCGCCGGCGCTCGGGACCACCCCTGGTGTCTCCTCCTCCCGCCTTCCTGAAGCGCCGAGATAAAAGTCCCCAGCCAGGATGACCGGGAGTAACACTCTCCCGGCCCTTTTTACAGAGGGGGCGGGGTGAGCCCGGCCAGCTCCGCCTCTCGCCTGATACGGGGTGGAGGGAGGGTGCAGTAGCTGGGAAGGGCTGAAACAGCCGCGCCCTACCCGAGCGCGAGAGTGGAGCAGTGCAGTTGAAGGAGGGCTGTGCTGTGCTTGGGTAAAGAAAGCCTCAGCGTCAGACCAGCTAGAGGGCGGGCTGACGTGCGGGATTTAGGTGGACCTTGCCAGCGTTCCCGGGGTGGGGTGACCGAAATGCACGGTCTCTGGTTGCAAAGTGAGCCCCTCAACCCCGCATCAGTAGTGGCTGCAACCTGGAAACTACTGTCCCGGTTTATTATTAGCTGTTGGGAAAGACGGGCCCGCAGCAGCCGCAATGCTACCCTGGGACTCTTATGTAAGAATGGTGGCTGGGCATGTAGGGTGCACGTGGACGCTTAGTGCTTCCGCTGTGGATAGGCCTTGGACAGCTGCTGGGGGAAGGGAGCCTCCTAATGAGGTCTCTCCCAGTCTTTCCTGTAACAGCTGCTGTCTGGATGAAGACTGACCCACCATCTGATCTGCACATTTTTTGCCAAAAGATCAAACGTGGCAATGGGAAGAAGTAACTACATTCCTGACTTTTCTCCAAGTCCTGCTATTGAGTCATGTAAAGGGCCAAGAGAGGGTGACAATAGTTAGGCCTAGTGTTGAGCTCTTCATCATTTAACAGAAAAGTAGAAAGGTTTTCAGTAATATTGAGGTGGGGGCAGTTTGAAGTGTTCCTTTCCAGAGATAGTTCTTAAAACGCAGGGTCATTAAATAGGGGCTAATAAGCTATGTACCAAATCACTAGATTTAACTTTTAAGAGCCTTGCACCTTAAATTTCACTTTGGGATTCCAAACCACAGGCTGTTTTCATTTTTGTTTTTGCTTTATCATCCCACTTCAGTTGCCCTGTCCTTTGTCTGCCAGCCTTCTCCAACATTCCTACGAATAATTCAATAAGACTCAATATTCTAATTTTAAATAGTTTTTCACTAAAACCTTCTGAGAGTGATATTAGTACAGTGTTTTCTTGTAAGACAAAAAGTACCAAAAGCAGAAAGCACATAATAATCAGGTTTATTTCCTCCCTCTTTCTTTCACTTGCAATCTATATTTACATTTTTTCCCATGGCAAACTATCTTCTACATTGTCTTTGAATGAAAATCTGACTTGATACAACAAAGACTCACCTATAGACAACAGGACACAAGTCAGTAATCCCTGGAGACAAAGTTCAGTCTGGGGACGACCCCCTCCCAGGACTTACTAGCTTTGGATTATAGCTCATGTTTTCTTATAAAATTGGGATAATGTCACCTGCTCAATCCAACTATCAGGATACTTGGATCAATGAAAAATGTAGAGCAAAAAAACATTATATAAATGTGAAGCATTAATCTCACCCTCACACTTAGCACCCATGGAGATTTAGAAACTTTTTCAGCCTCAAGTCGTTTATCAACAAAATGGAGCTTCTCCCATGGGATATACTACATTTTTGGTTGAAGATAATGGATTTTTAAAATATGTAAATTGTAAAGCACTTTACAACAATTAATTTTACTTGCTGTAGGACCTCATCATAGTCCAGGGGTGTTTATGGAAAGAATCAGAAACCTTTAAAATGTGGGGGAAATCTATGAGGAGCCACAAATGCACCCCCTCCCCCCATGCTAAAGCAGCTAAAGAATACAAAATAGTCCAGGTTGATTTTAAATCCATATGTCCAGTGAGATACAAAGCATTGCAAGAGACAAACACATTTCCAGTTTCCAGTAGCTGAACCTCTCATTATTTAAAACATGTTTTGCCCGCAGTGACAGACCCTGTTGATGTTTTAGGTACTTATGCCTCTGGGTTAAAACTTGGTACTCAGATTTGAGTAATGAAATGCCAGAAACCTGCCTCCTTTTCTTCCCAGTTACAGTAAAGTGTGACAATAACTCGCAGAAACAAGAAATCAAAGTGACCTATCTAGCAAAGGGATCCCATACACACACACACACAAAGCCCAGATGGGTAGAAAGCCCCTATCGCCTTCTTTTTGGTCTCCATTCTTTCCTATTCTGTTTATTTCCAGCCTGTGGTCTCCAGGTCACTCTCCAACCCTCAGTTTCTTGACTCCCGCTTTTGTTCTTTCACATTTCTTAAACGCTACAAGGGAAAGATGGCTGATGCACCTGCCTACAAAACTTCCCAAACTCGGCCTCCTCAGCTCCCCAAGGGCGGCTCAACAACTTATGGCCACTTGGGGTAACTTTGGAGTGGAGGGAACTGTTCCCGGGCCAGAACTGCTAGGCCCTTGGAATCACCCCACCACCACCCTCCGGCTTCAGCCAATCAGGTGCCGTCAGGAAACATTATGCAAATAAGCCTTCGCACCCCAGCCAGTTAGGAGCTTGGTCTCCCTCCTCCAAGCGTCCTCTTTCACCCCAGCCACACCGAACCGGCGGCCGAGTCACTGGCAACCGGTAGGCAGCCAATTTTTCGCTACAAGCTGCTAAAAAAAATAGTGGGGGGAGGGAAAGAGAGAAAGAAAGAAAAGAAGAAGGGGCGGGGCGGGGAGAGGAGAGGGAAAATAAATGATTCCCTGGGATCACTTAGGAGGGAAATAAGGTGGGCAGTCTGTTTGGTTGCACCAAACACTTCCCCAACTGTCATCTGGAAAAGCCTGGAGATTCTGAGCAACCTAACAGCCTTCCTTTGCCTCCGAAAAACAGAAGTCGAGCGTTGAGCAAACAGCTTTGAGTACTTGTAAGTCAGCAGGCTCAAGGCTGGGTCTCCGCTTCCTTCTCAATAGGTTAAATTCTCAGTAAAAAACTTGTCTGCAGTTGCCTCCCTCCCCACTTCTTCGTACACGGCTCCAACTCTGGAGCTCTTAAGTTGTTGTTCTTAATTCCTGCTTTACCTTACTTCAGCAACCAGGAAATCAGGATTTGCTGGCCCATGTCCTAAAAAGTGTCTATAAATTACCCTTATACTGTGTCATTTGGATAGTTTGGGGAAAGATGGCATTTTAAATGACCAGAAATTCATAAAACAGAAAGCAATGATAAACTGTTTAAAGAAGGCAGATTGAAGAAATAACAGGTTTGTCCTAGAAATGGAGGGAAGGTAACCTGTTTGCAAGGCTAGAAACCAGGCCAGCTCAAGACAGTGGAGCCTCTGGATTACTTTGAGGCAAAGCTTACACAGAACCACTTCATGCAAAGTGTCTTAGAAATATGACATCAGACTGTCTTGTTGAAGGCCATGTAGTCCAAACACCCAGTTGTGCTGAAATAACTTACAACATACCCACCAAGTGGTCACCCTAGCCCACATTCTTGTAATTTCCATTCTTCATTATGAATTCTCCCTCCTTGGAACCCTCCAGGAGGCCATGCAGCACACCATCAGATATTAGAAGGTAGGTACCATGTCCTTTAAATCCACTATTTTTCAAACCAGTTATCCCCAGTTCCAGCAGCAGTCCTTCATTTTTTCTTTGGAATTGCTCATCCATCCTGGTCACTGTCTTTGGAAGTAGCTCTAGTTTGCTTGCAAGTGTAGCACTTGGGATTCATTCCAAACGCCATCTTTTCCATGGAAGAATAGAGTGGTGTGGCCACCAATTTTATTGTAAATGGTAACTTTTCTAGGTCATATTTATTGCACGCAAGTGTTTGGAACTTAGGTATATTAAAACATTTTAAGTTCCCAACAACCTTGAGAAGAAAGTAAGGCTTAGAGAGTTTAACAGGCCAGCATAGCAGAATTGGAAGTTGACCTAGTTTTCTGATGATAGAACCAAATTTTCTTCTACTACCCAATGATATCTATTCTTACGATGCTGCCTAACATCTAATAGACTTCTTTTAACAGCTACATCTATATGTTGCTGGTTAACAAAATTTTGTGTATCCCATTTATAAGCAGGGCAGAACTTTTTGCACCAAAGTATAGAACTTTATATTTATCTTATTTAAACTTTATCTTACTAGTTTTGGCTCATTACCCCAGCCTGCTCCAATATTTAGGTTCTATTTCTGTGTTCTAATGTATTTGGATCTTATACAGACCTTCTCTTCAAACTATTCTGTATATTCATCTAAGTTATTGATAATCAGTAAAAGGAACACTGGGCAAAGGGCAAAGTGCTGTTGAATATTAGGAGAGCTCCTTCAGCTTAACATCAGTCTATTAATTAGCACCTTTTGGCATATGTTGTTTCAGCTAGCTATGAGTCATAGTAATTGTATAATCATCTAGCCTATATTTTTCTTCTTGACCATAGAATATTATGAGATACCTTGCTAAGTGTCTTGCTAAAGTCCCAAGTTAATAGCTAGCTTTCCTCTTATGGAATCAGGAAGCATGGCATTTGTGTCATCTGCCACAAAAAACCACTGTCACATGATACAAAAACACAGAAGTAGCATCATAATACTTTGAATTAAAATTGGGGGAGGGGGTAATCTCATTCTAATTGTCATTATAGAAAACACCCTCATGAAGACTAAGAGTTGGGAGAAAATAGACAGGAAGACGCAAAAACCAGGAACATGTCAGTAGCAAGTCTGATGGCCTCAAACCTTAAGCTTTCAGGTTCTGGCATGTCTGAGTATGTTAGAGTTAACATTTTGTCACAATTTCATTTAAAAACCTTTTTAGCCTCAAATTCAGGAAGAGTAGAGCACAGGCAAGTTGAGAATACTGCCTTTGTTATATTCCTCCGCATTTCTACATCTTTGGGAACTCTTAACTATATAGAAAATGATGCATTTAATTCAGGTATTATAGATAAGAAAAGTACAAAACTCATTATAGTTCTGCTTACCTACCATATAGGAGCTTCTAAATTTGATTATTCATGAATCTCTTCGAATTCCAGGACCTTCTTGCACTATTAGCATAGAAGAAACAAGCAACGGTATAGTTCGGGGGTAGAGCAAAGAAGGAATGATGAC